CCAATCAAGGTCACAGTTCTGGGGTTCAAGTATGACACATTGATGGGTGTCATAGATGTTAATATCCTGTCTTCTCACCTCCAATTCTGATACCTGCAGAAAAGATGTAGGATAGAAAATGAAAGATCTCAGTCCTCACAATCATTCCACCACTATTATGCAAGTATATTGTGCATTGAGCTAATAATTTCTATGCTGTGGACAGCAGTTTGGCCTGATTATCCTGAGGTTCTACAATACATGTCAAGATAGAGAAAACAACCAAACATGTAAAACTTAACTGGAGTCATGCAAGTGATAATATATATGCGTGAAAGTCTCAGGATGTATCGCTTAACTCCTGTGGAAATGGAGAGTATACCACCAAGAGTACTGATTGCATCTTTAAGACTGCTCGATTAGTTTACCTGAAATACCATTATTGTTCCTCACTTATTTACTTCTAGAAGCCAGCCCAATTTTACCACACTTAGATATTCTTCTGGAAGCCTCAGTGTCCCAGAAAAAAAATCTTTCTGTTGCCCTGTGTGCATTAGTGCATAACCCTGTGAGTGCCTTTCCAATGAGCATCACTACTGGTGTGAGGTCATAAGTTATTTTTTTTTTTTTGGCAAAAAGTTTGGTTTACTTGCAACTTTATTTTGCCCATTAGTTGTTCTTTTTATTATTATTATTATTATCACCATAATAATCTTTATATTACATTGGGTTACATATAATTTTACAGTGTATTACATTGCTTTTTTGAAAAGGGAATGCCATGCCTGTCGGTCAATACAGAGACATTAATAAGTTATTTACATGAGTCATTGACATTAGCTCTCAAATGGGGTTTGCTTAGAGGACAGTCTTATGTTATCTCCTTCTTTCATTAAAATATTCAATAATCTGCTTTTTCCCAGAACACACAATGGAACCTTCAGAGGAATCTGAACAGGAGAATCTTCTTTCAGAGATAGCAGGGAAGATTGGTTCTTTAAGTAGACTTAAGCCAATTTACAATAGGTGGATTTGTTGAGTGGAATAAGAAATGTGGAATATACTTTCTTCTTTACTTCTGGCTAAGAACAAGCATACAAAACAGAATGAAGGGGTGATTTTTTTTTTTATCAGAGTTTACATGATTGAAAAAAAAAGAAGAAAAAAAAAGAGGAAGAATACAAATGCATTAAATTACCAAAAAAGGAGTACTATGTAGTCAAATGCAGAACCTGACTAAACATACACTGAAAATGGATTTGTGTGTGTGTGTATGTGTGTGTGTGTGTGTGTGTGTTCAGAGGCTACAGGCCAGTGGGTCACTAGACTCCTTGAGCTCTGGGTAAGAATGCATATGCATATTCTGCTTTGCAATATGGATTCCCTACTCTCCCTTTTAGATAACTTTACAGTATACTATGAGTAATTAGCTGTAGTTTGAATCCTGAAGATCCTTTGAATAGAATGCCCACCTTTAATACCTTCCTGGCTCTACTATCTTTCCAGATTTTGACTAATATTCTTCTTATCAGTATAGGGCTTAAATCCATTGAACAAAATCTTCATCTCCCTTTAGTTGGTTTCATTAATCACTGTCTAGATTTTGAACCATTTCAAATTCTTCTCCAATCTGTCCAAACCCAAACACTAATTCCAGTCTCTCCCATAAGAATATTTCATCTGAGCTAGTCACATTCATACACCCTGGAAAAGGAAGCCCTTTATGTACAGAAAAGAAAAAGAGTTCACTTCTGTTTCTTTGGTTATCAATTTCTTAAACAAATAACAGATAATTAAATACTTCATTTTCACATGAAATGTATGTGCAGGTATATAAACAGTTTTTTTGTTCTACGATTTTGATATGAAAGAAAAAAATGGTGAAAAGACACAGAGATCTCTTTGCCTGTGATCTGGTAACAAAACTAAGGAAAGGAACGTGGTCAGAAT